GTAACTCACCAAATTTTCAGCCCTGTAGCTTCTGTGGATCTCGAGATGAAAACTCGTTACAGACGAACACACAGACACACACACATACATACATACATACATACATACATACATACATACATACATACGCACACAGACAAACCCTCGACAATATGCGTTTTTGCATTGCATAGCTGCAAAAAACGCATGAAAACGGAGACAACGGTAAAGACCCAGGCTGGTACGCATCAGACGGGCCGGTGCGATTACGCGTTTTTGCATTTTTCGTGCCGTAGCAAGATCGCAAGGAATCACAGCAACTAGCCCTGTGAAATACTGGCCCTCGAAGTTCGAAAAGTTAATTGCGCAGCTATTTGGCACGTCAGTTGTAGGTGTCGGCTTCGGTGATCCGACAAATGGAAAGTTGCCGGTCCATAAAAAAGGCTGCACTAGAAGAATTAAATTTGAAAACTCTTAGTCGCACGTGAGTAGGGACCATTCCCTTAAGATTAAAGCCTTTCAGCTTTTCTCGTTCCCGAGTTAACAGTTTTTCCATCAAAATTTTCACATGTCCATATGTGAGTATCGGGTTGTTCTAAGAAGCTGAACTTGAAATCTTTTGGTCGTACATGAATAGCGAGCAGTCCCTTAAAGTCTCAGCTTTCTGGATTTTCTCATTTCCGAGTTAGTGATTTTCCCGGCAGAAATTCCACATGCCTGTACGTGGGCTCCGGACGCTTCTAAACACCTAATTTTGGTCGTACATGAATAAGGAACATCCCCCTACAGTTTCAGTCTTCTAGTTTTTCTTGTTCCCGAGTTAGTGATTTTCCCGTCAAAATTTTCACGTGCCCATACGTGGGCCCTGGGCAATCCTAGGCAGCCGAATTTGAAATCTTTTAGTCACGCATGGACAGGGAACATTTTCGTAAAATTTCAGCTTTCTAGTTTTTCTCTTTTCCGAGTTAGTACTTTTCCCGTCAAGATTTTCACGCACCTCTACGTGATTCCCGTGCAGTTCTGAGGAACTAAGTTTGAAATTTTTGGCCGTACGTAATTAGGGAACATTTCCCAAAGTTTTAAGTTCCTCTAACTTTCCTCACTCTCGAGCTATGAATTTTCACGTACCCGTACGTACGCTCTGAGCAGTCCTGAGTAGCTGAATTTGACGGACAAGGGGTTGGAAACATTCCCCTAAGGTTTCAGCTTTCCAGCTTCCCGAGTTAGCATTTTTCCCGCCAAAACTTTCACGCGCTCGTACGCGAGGCCCAGACGTGCTTGAGGATTGATATCGTGGTCCTGGGGTGACTCTTGGCTGGAGAACACATCGGTAAAATTTCAGCTTCAAAGCTTGCGTGATTGGCGAGTTCAAATACCCGGACAGACGAAAGCAGAAACACACACACACATACACACACACGCGCACACATACACACAGACACACACACATACACACACACTCACACACTCACACACACACACACACACACAACACACACACACACTGACAGGGCCATTGCAATATGCGTTTTTGCTGCTTATAGCAGCGCCCTAACGCTGTACGGCAAAAACGCATAAAAAAGGGATATCAGTGCCGCAAAAAAAAGTAAATTAAATCACTCCTAAGCCTATGAATAAAAGCGACGAATGGCGAAACCAAAAAATTCCTAACCTATGGAAATAAGCAAAAAAAAACGAAAGAAAAAACCTGAGCCTGTGCGAACAGAAATTGTTTTGTAAAAACCTGCCGTCAGTAGGGGAATTCCTATTTATGAAGCTGGCGTTTGGGTGAAGCTGGGAGTGAATGAGTTCAATTGCAGAATTTGAACTGAGCCTTTGCTTCTGTAGACAAAAAAGCTATCCAGCTCTCGGTGACATCATGACAAGCAATGCAAGCAAACAACGCTTCAAAATAGCAATAGCGGAAAAAAGAATGTGTCCTTCAAGAGTGGCCAAGCTGAACCGAGCCCACTTTAATCTCAGATTACCACGGAGAGAAGTCATTATTTTGTATGTAAAATTTGCTTTATTCGTATGTGGGGCCTGTTTTGCAGTTCCTCTAGAATGATTTTATTATAATCCAACTCAACCAGAGGTTTAGAGTTACGATATTAAATTTGAAAGCAGTGTATTGTGCCACAAATTTACGAGCGTCTAAACACGGTGGATCTTGCAGGGTAAATTGAATGTTTCACTGAGATCCCAAAAAGTAAATGAACATACCCGGTGGAGCAG